ATTTCACCACAAACAGCTACAGGATGAGGTATTCAAGAAGAAAAAACTTTGGTATAAAATGTACAGCTTTCGATCCAACTTTTTTTGGTCTTTTCGTTTTCTTGTTTACAGGCAAAGGGGAAGAAAAAAAGACTTTGGTTTTTCTTTGTAAGTTAGCACAGTTGACAAACGAAGGAGAAACATTCAGTTCATTAATAGATAGTAATGCACTGCTTTGATTTTAAAAACAGGATGACCACTCAGCTTACACTGGCCAGGGAGTGGAGAGGAAGGGGAATGGATCCACTTTTGAATAACAGGGTAGTTTGTTTGTTTTTTAAATGGCCTTTTATTCCAGTGGTTCTCAACCTTCTCTTTGCCACCCCACCCCCCTTTAAATACCCTTTGTAGCCCCCACCCCCAAGACTTAAGATTTAATTCATAACATTTCTTCAAGCCTTGGTGGACTCCCTGTGATGACTTCATAACCCTCCCCCCAGGGTCCACGGACCACAGGTTGAGAACCACTCAAATTTATTTAGTATAAAATTTATACTATAGAAAAGTTTGTCTCTTTATCTCTGCCCATCAAGCTGTACATCAAGCACAGGAAGAATTATTTGATTTTAAAGCTGTCAACCTGATCTTAACAGGAAGGGGGGGGGGGAATAATGGAACATATTTTTGAGCTGCTATTGAGGTTCTGAATTTGGTAATATAAACGATTCCCGGTTCTGCTTAATGCTCCCTCCAAGCTGGACGGGTTTCTAGTTTTAAACTGTTTTTAAGAGGTTGAACAAGGTGGAACATGTCAGGGTTGACAGAAAAATGCCCAACCCAAGGAAATGTCTCTTACTGGCGTAAGTGCAAAACGTCATCGGGGCTTGGTCTGAGTCCAGGCATTGTAGACTTAATCGCAGGAGTTTTTAAACTTTTTTGTGCCTGTGACGTTGCAAAGCTTGGGATCCTGCAGAATGCACGGATTGTGTAACAAGCAAACAAAAAAAGAGCGATAAGGCAGCTGGTTCAGATTTGGGAATCGGATTTGAATGGCACGTACGTACTACATTGCTGTACTCCGAGGGCTGTTTGGTATCCCATGGATTCCTTGCAAAACTAGATTCGTCGGACTTTGGAACTAAATGTATAGAGTTTAGCAAACTCTTTTCTTAAAGCCACCTGTTAGCCTTCGTTGCCACACCTTGCCAAACAGGTGAGAGGCTGCCAGGTCTAATCCGCTATGGAGGTCACCAACAAGGATGTGTGTTTGAGGCAGGTTAAAACAAAAAAATCTCCCAAGAGCTTAGCCAGTTGGCAAAAAGGTTGGCAAAAACTTGGTTCTTATGCACTCATCCGCCTTATAAACTCTGAGATTTTAGGAGTAACCCATTTTTAAAAATACACTTTAAATACCAGGATAAGAAATAACACCTATTTTAAGGCATCCTCTTTCAATTTGAAAGTCGAGGCCAAATTGACGAGTGTTAATTTTTCTCCCTGTTTGTTCAGACGTAGTTTATGAACCCCCAAATTCCTTGTGCTAAAGCAAATGCTAAGCTAAGATTTATATCCATGGTTTATTACACAAGCCTCCCTTGCCTGGTTTGCATAGAGATCAAGTCACCATGGATGTGTTCACACAGTCAAAAAGAAACCTCTTTGGGGTTTATCAACCCAGCCGAAGGGAGGCAAGAGCTGCCTTGTTTTTCCTCCTGTAATATTCTGGTTTCATTGGAATTTCGCTGATATTGGAGTTGTATTGGAGGAAATAGATGATTAAAATATGAGATTGTTCAAGCGAGCAACACTCCTGTGGTAATCTCACCCTAAGAGCTTTGAAAAGCGAGTGGGCTCCAATCAAATGTGTACTAGCCTTAGCTATTCATTTAGAAAATGCGCCAATTAGAAGCTGGCTTTTTACAGCTCTATTTTGTTTTTGGTTTTTTGGCCTGGTCACTTTACCTATGAACAGTATTTTCTCACGGTGAGTCACCTCCACTCCTCCTTTGGCAAAACTGTGCAAATGTAATGAATGCGGATTGCTGGTCGGCCGGTTGTCAGAAGCGAGGAGAGAACCACTATTATAAGGGGAAGAAACAAATCTCGGAAGAGCTGGGTTTTTTGAGACCTGGCCGGAGCGTTTAAAAAAAAGGAAACCAGAATATTTTTTTTAAAAAAACAACAGTGTCAGCTGTGAAGGAAGGAAGGAAGCCTATAAGGTGAAATAGGGTGTAACGTATAATTTTCTCCCCCTTCCGGTTCCATAAATTTCTGCTTGGAATTGGCAAACAATGCAGCAGCCCCCACTTTTTTTTAAAAAAAATCCTGTTTGCTCGTTTGGTGGCTCAGGGGCACGTTCAGAAAGGAACTTCTGTCCCTAAAGTGCATTATCTTAGCTTCCGCTGGGAACCCGATGGCCAGAGAGTGGGGTGGGGGCTGGGGGGGAAGCAGCTTGGGAAAAACTGGGGTTCAGGGTCTCTCCCCCCCCTCCCCCCCTCCTCCCCCCTTCCCCCTCCCCAGTGCCCTCTCTGTCCAGAGCAAGCTGAGCGTCCTGATGCAAACCAAGTACTTAGAGAAGCCATGCAGGAAATGAAAAATAGAGAAAACTATCTATTACGATACGCACCCACCCGTCCACGCACGCTCCAACACCGACGCACTCTCCCCGACACCCGTACCCACCCCGACCCCCACACCCACACATAAGAATTTGTTTGCAAAAGGAAAAACAAAACCATCTTTGGTATCTTTTGGTGCAAGAGACAAAGTGAGGTAGAATTTCTTTTTCTTTTTTTTCCGGTAATTTTGAGAACCTTTGGGACAAGGGGACACCCAGGAGGCATGGAGGGGGGGGAGGAGGAAGAGGAAGAGGAGGAAGCAGCAGCAGCAGCCAGTGAGGCGGGAGAGGGAAGAAGGGGAGCCAAGGTGGTTCTGGTGCCCTCTGCATAGATGCCAGTGACTTTGACACTGATCAGGTAATAAAAGAAAGGCAGGTTTCCAAGGTGCGCAGAGAATAAATGTGCGCTTGTCCAGCCCTTGGCAGAGAAGAGAGACCGGAGAGGCTTCCCCAATCCACATTTTTCCATCTCCCCCAGGAACTGGGCTCCTCCTCCTCCATGCTCCTTAAGCCTGCTTGGCGATGCTCTCTGGACATTTTTGGGCAACCCCTGAATGCCTCCCTCTGACTCTTAGCCCCTCCAAAAAAAAAAAAAAAAAAAACAACCCTCCCCAAGAGATGCCTTATAAAATTTAAAATGGCTTTTTGCCCAACTGCTGGGGGTGACAAACCTCTAGCAAAATAGTTACGGAAGGGCGTTTACAAACCCATGAGGTTTTGGCTGGTTTGACTAGGATGAAAGGGGTCCTGCCGGATCCTGGTTATTTTCTTTTGGAAAAATAATTCAGGAGAGACCCTCAAACACACCCCTCTTTCCCCTTGTACCTGTTGCAAGGCAGTCCCCCCCCCTCCCCCAACTAGCTGGAACAAGGACCAAGCCAAAATGGAAGAGGGGTGGGAATGTTGGGAGCCGGGTTATCCTAACGTAGAATCGAGAAGCAAGTTGCCATTTCGCCAAAGGTGATGCATCTTTGCTGAAGAGGCTGGATTTGGGGCAGTGGGCAGGTTCCCCACACAAGGGGCCTAATGTCTCCCCAGGGGTTGGGCCCTTCTGCCCCCAAAGCTTGGGAAGAAAGCAAGCGGAGGAAATCCAACTGGCGGTGGATCCCTCCAGAAATGCTCTCTGCGGCTTCCTTCGGCTCAGTCGTGGTTTTTCTCTCTTTCTCGAGCTGCACTCGGGAAGGGGACTGAGGCTGGCCAGGCCAGGGGGGAGAAGGGCAACAGCGAAGGGGGCGAGGGGGCACGAGAGGAAAGGATGGACGAGAGGAGACCTTTTAGGGCGAGATGGAGAAAGGGACCAGCAGGAAAAAGAGCCGAACTGCAGGGCCCTTTCAATACATTTAAAATAGAATGGAGGCTGGGGCCCGAACTGCCTTAAAAGAGGTGACTGGTCTTCTTTTCCATACCATGAAAAATTTCACCTGCTTTCCCCCCCCCCGCCACAAATTTAAGTGCAGCTCGTGGCGTGTAATTTTCATTTTCGTTTTCCTGGGTCGGTTGGCTGTCTCCATCCTGAATATTCCAACCCCCAAAAGGGCCACTTTGCTTCCTGACCCCTTTCAAAAAAAAGGTCCTGGAGGGGAGCCCTGAAATGAGTGTCTCCCCCCCCCCCGAAGAGGCGGGGGAGGGGGGGGGGGGTCAAGGGGGGGCAACGGGGGGGGGGGGGGATATTCCGGATGCAAAATTATCCGGATGCAAAACTAGCCGTGCGCAGAGGACATTTGTGCTCATCTCGGATTGCTGTCTGCCCTGCAGTGGCTTAGAAAATAGACGCCGGAGGAGGAGGAGGAATCCTGGTTTAAAACTGGTTCTGCTTTGTCTAACTGGCTTGAGAGTGAGAGGGGGGGGGGTCTCTCCGTCATTAGCTTCATGCATTGAATTGGGAGGAGGGGGGGGGAGATGGGGCCGAGCCCACCTGCGTTGGGTGGTACTCTTATTTTAGAAGGAAATGACTTGCTTGGGGATATCGGCCCCTTACTCCGAAGGGTAAGGGGTCTTCCTCCACGGTGGAAGGTAACCCCCGTTCTGGTCCTTCATCTCCCCCCCACCCACCTCCCCACTTCCCCCTGCTTTGAGCCACTAGATGGCGGTGCATCCTCGTTGGGGGACCCACACAGGACAGTTTGTAGAAGGAAACAAAAGGAACCCCAACTTCTTGGAGGCAGCAGCCTTGACCGTCCTTCTCAGGGTCCTCCAGGGAGTCCGGTTGAAGAAGAAGAAGGGGCTCACCTTCCCCTGGACAACCTCTCCCCCACCCCCCCAGGGCTAAAATTACAGGAGGGTGGTGACCCCAGAGCTGGATCCTTTGGCCCGCCCGGCTGAAGTGCTCATCTGTCTTCTGTCTTTGGTGCAAAGAGAGGGGGGAACGTCCGGCTTGTCCTCTCGGGAAGGGGGGGAGGGGGTGTCACGCTTTGGTGCAAGTGACCGCCGAGGACGGGGTGGAGCCGGCGGAGGGAGACCTCCCTTCCTCCATCCACTTGTCCAAGCTCCTCCGCCGGGCGTTCATGAAGAAGTTGCTAACGGTGGAGAGCTCCAGGCCCAGCTGTTGGGCGATGGTGATCTGAAGGTCCTTGGAAGGCCTCTGGTTCTCGTGGAAAATGGCGTGGAGGGTGCGGCGCTGGATGTCCGTGAAGACCAGGCGGTGGCGTTTGGGCACGTGGTTGCGGTCAACTTTGCTTTGGTCTTGCTCTTTTCTTTTGCAGGCTGGAGGGGAGAGAGACGGGCAGGTAGGAAGGACAAGAAGCCAGTTAGTCATGCAGCACGTAAAAAGAATAAATAAATAAATAGGAATTGCCCCCCTGGATGGCTGTTCAGCTTGGCAGAGGTTCAGCTCCCACCGCCGCCCTGCGCTCTCTCGCTACTATTCTCATTTGCTCTATCAGCGCCGGCCTTCTGGTAGACTGCCCCTCTCCAGGGAGGTTCTGTGGCACCCAGAGAAGCTCTTCTCTCCCAGCCTCCCCCCCCCCCGTCTCCTTTCCACTGCTATCTAAACCGGTTAAGATCGAGGACAGGCAGGGGGGCCGCCTAGCTTAAAGCCTGAAATTGCAACCTGGTGCAGCCGGAGAGAAGATTTCCGCCTTATTATTGGGGGAGGGTGGGAATAAATTGACTGACCTCCAGTTAATTTCTGGAGGCAGGAAGGTGGAGTAGCTGGGTTTGGGGTCAGATGCAAAGCGTGTCCAGGTCTTTGTATAAAAAGAGCACTTTTGTTTTAAACTTGGGGAGTTTTCCCCTTTAGGCAGGTTTTTAGGACACCCCAAATTTCCTAGGCTGTGGGGTTGTCATTGCTGGCTGGCTGAAGTTTTGACTTTCCGGACCGAAAGATCTTGGCTGGTGTGGAAATACCTGAAGACCTTGGGGCCCCAGCGTTGTGGGCTCTTGGGGTGGACGGAGACACACAGGAGAGAGAAAAGGCCGTTCTCTCTCTCTTCCAAAACCTTGGATTTAGGCTGGGGGGGGGGGGACACCATATAATTTATGATTTTATAGGCTGGGATGTGGTGAGAACAACCCTTGAGCCAACCCCAGGCTCTGTGCCCAAGCGCTGGGTGTGTGCACGCATGTGTGTGTGTGTGTGTGTTTTGCTTCCCTTCCCTTGGAATCAAAAATAAAAGTTTGCTCTTTAGCCCAAGGATGACCTTAAAGAACACAACGGCACCCACTCTCTGCTTTTATGCCTTTAATGGCAGGGAGGAGGAAGAGGGGAGCTCGGAATTTAATGCTAAATCAATAGCTCTGGTGACTGAAATCTTCTGTCTCCTTTTCTTGCCTCTTTCCAGCCCGCTGGCTCCTCGCCATCTTTTTCCCCAGCAAGAAATCCTGGTGGGCATCTGGGAGGCAGCCCGGCTTACATGGCAGGGCGACCCCGTCCTTCTCAGGACAGCCCCAAATTAGGCTTGGGGAGAAATACACTTTTTTTTAACCCGTCCACCACTCTCTCCCCCCCTCCAGCAGAATCTGCTTGAGATGATTGGGGAGCGGAGCCTTCTGATGTGCCAGCCGGCCCTCAAATGGATCCTGCCATCTTATCCAGGGAGCCATTTTTAACCCAGTTTGATCAGCCGGCATGCCGTGCCATGCTGGTGCCTTTTAGAAACCTGTTTGATGGGTTGGTTAAAAATAAATAAATCAGAATAGCAGCTTTCCGTTACGAAACGTTTTATTGGATGACTAGTGACTAGTTCTACCTTTTGAGAGCTTATTCAGAAGGAAAAGCAGATATTTTTTTCTCTCCAACTAACAAGTATGGCACTTAGTTGGATAAATGGCCCAGACCTTAATCTGTACCTTAATCTGACCTTAATCTGTGGAGATTCTCAGTCATCCAGACATAATTGTCCCAAAGTTGTTTTCTCAAGAAGCAACTGGACTTTCTGTTTTTTTTTTGTTTGAAGACCTTTCGCTTCTCATCCAAGAAGCTTCTTCAGGTTCTGACTGAATGGTGGAGAATGGATTGATATTCCTTGCAGTCATCTGGTCGTTGGCACTCTCTCTGAGAACCGTTGGAGATTTGCCTGTCCCCTCAGGGTCACCTGAATCCTGTCCTCTGGGGACCTCCAAGCGGCCTCAACAGCTCTCGGAGGGAGTCCCAATGACCAGATGACTGCAAGGAATATAAATCCTTTTGTTCGCCACCATTTGGTCAGAACTGAAGAAGCTTCTTGGATGAGAAGCAAAACGTGTTCAAAGAAAAACCAGAAAGTCCAGCTGCCTCTTGAAAAAACACCTTTGGGACTATATACCACACATTTTAAAATGTAACCTATAACTGATATATAATTTCCTGAATCCCCCAAACCTTGCAAAATTGACTACATATTTCTATTGTACACGTACCATAGTATTTATGTGCACTTTCTGAATAATATTATTACTGTTATCCCTGTGCTCTGGGCCTTATGCTACATAAACAATATATTTCATTAGATTTCCTAGCAAAAATTACTTGAACTCTGTATTTGGAGAGTAACTAAAAATGACAGGTAGCCACTTTTAAAACACTGCCTTCTAGGACGGGATTTGGAAAAAACTACTAACGTGAAATAATTGTGAACTATTAAGGGAAACAAAATTTAAACAGGGATTTTCTCATTTAGTTTTCCAAAAATAATTGCCAAGGAAGGTAACCGGCTTTTCTTTGGATGGTGAAAAGCCTTAATCGTATGAGTTTGCACAACAGGAGCAACCCAATTCAGAGCTTTGGATGGTGTGTGTGAATCCAGGTTGCGCCTGGACCACAATCAAAGTGCTTTCTAAAGCTTCAACCTGCCAAATTCGTGGACCAGCCCCTGAACAAATCTATAATTCTTTTTCTCATCTGTTGCCAAGCCTCGCAGGTTGACCATTCTTCTTGACAGGGGGGCAGACATCAACATCAAAATCACACACAGCTAGATAAGCCGTAGCTAGAGAATCACCTTTGTGCATTGCAGCATTCAAACAGGAGGTGATTGTTGTTGGGTTGTGGTGCCCCCCCCACCCCCACCCCCGCAAACCTAGATAGTTTTAAAGGGCCAGTTTTATAATAGGCATCAGTGGGAACGTTTTTTTGAAAGTTTAAACTTTCTACTCCAAAGAATGAAGGATGTTGAAGTAAACCTGGAAATCTGCATCCAAGGTCAAGGAGGCTGACCTTCTGATTGTGAAACCGTGTATTTCACAATCGCAAACCTGCTTGCGGTCTGGAAGTCTGAATTGGCCCTTTGCTCCACAATTGCTTTTGAAGCGCTGGGATAAGAAACGGGACTTTTTGGTGTTGGCCCCTAGATTTTTAGAAATTCTCTCTTCCTGTGAGCTCTCTCTTTTCCTACCTTTTAAACTTCTGGGCTAATTTTGCACTTTTAATGTAGTTATTGCCTTGTGGTTTTTTTTTTTTTTTAAGCATCCTGATTGCTAGTGATTATTTTTCATATACATAGCTACACGCCTATGGCCCCATATAAATAGATAAATGGCTTTTTCTGTTTTCTTCAAGCGACTTTGGTTACTTTCCGTTGCAAAATTTGGGGTGCATGGAACCCAAGAGACGTCTAATAAACGGTGGTTTTAATTGCCTTAACGGTGGGCAGGAAACCTCCCCGAGCATAGCCCAACCCTGGAAGGAAGCGGAAAAGGGACAGAAAAATGCCGATTTTTACAAGGAAGAGCCACAATCTGTCTGCCCTGGGGATTTTTTTCTCTCCCCAAATTCTGATCTCTGCTCCTGTCTTGTGGCCGTGAAACGTGACAAGCTTGTTTTGCTCTTCAGCTCTTCCCAAGCAGACCTCCCCCCACCCACCCCGCACACACACACACACACACACACGCTGCCTTTGCTACGCTGCTGTGGCTGCAGGCTGATAGAAAATATTGATCAGATCCCAACTATATGGCTGCAAAGAACAGCCAGTTTCGCATTAACCCTTTGCAGGGCGGGATTGATGGCGGGCCGATGCTCAGGAGAAGGGAGGGAAGGGCAAGAAAGGGGAGACTCCCCCCTTCAGCTGCAGAAATTGGGGTTCAACTCCCCCCAAATCTCTGGGCTTTGCTCTTTTGAATGCATTATGGGTGTCCTTTCTATCTTAGAGTCATCCGATTGAGTGTATCCCTCAATCGGCCTGGGCACCGATGGAAGAGACAATTGCAGAAAAGATAGAAATCTCAGCTAGCTCGAAACAGAAAGTCCCCCATCATCAGGTTTTTCCTCTACTTCAGAGCTTACCTAAAATCTGGTAAATTATGCATTAGGATTTTTCTCGCAGTGTTAAGCCAAAAGGCTCCGCTAGGAAATTCTCCCACTGTGAATTTAGCGATCGCTTGGGCCGGTCTCTGGCCTTGTGCCTTGAAACCGGGGAAGATGCGTTGAGTCACCAGCCCTTAAAAATCGAGGCATCTTCCGTTTATTATTGGTTTAGACTCATCTGAGTCTCCTGGCTTAGTTTTAACTAGAATTAGATTTGGGTCCTCTCATTCAGTAGAGGCTTCGTGCTTATTTGTGGAATGGAAACAGAACTGGATTCTGAATGAAAGAACAACAGCAAAAAAAAATCACCTGTAAATCTTCACGCATCTTATCTCCAGCTCAGTTGTTCTATTTTTTTTATTTTAAATATCCAGGAACGTCCTTCCTCTCTTCCCCAGTATAGTTTATTCCTTTGTTTTAAAATAAGTTTTTCCAGATAAATGAAGTTCCCTAGATAATCTTCCCTTTTAGGCAGAATCACGTCCACTTTTGGCTACGTCCTGTGGCGGCAGCAGTCGAGGGCGATGAAATAGAAAAACGACTTGCTTGTTTGCGCTATATATATATATATATATATATATATATATATATATATATATATGAATAAATATATTCTTAAATATATATTTTACAAGCAAGAATTGGGTCAGGTGCTGCAATTTGGGAATTTAAGCTGGTCAGCTGCTTCCCCCCCCCTTTGTGGGTCTGGGGGGGTAAACGGGGGGGGGGGGGGGCAGGATCAGAGCCAAGAAGGGCACTGTGGGGCCAATTGAAACCTCCTATTTCCCCCCCTCCGCCCACAAAAAAAAAATCGATGTTCTGTTTGACACAGAAAGCCCAAGGGAATTCGGGGGAGTTGACCGTCGGGTAGCTGGTGGCTGGTTGTGCCTGAGAAAAATCAATGATGCTCTTACACGAAGATCCTCCCGTAGGTTGAGAGGGACGTCTGGAAGAGGAAGGGAGGGGGGGGATTCTTCCCTTCCTTCCACTTCCTCCCCCCACTTTCACATTGTCAGGGAGAGGGGAACAAAAGAAATCTCTCCAAACGGAAAGGGTCCGTCTTCCGCAGGGCAATTTCCATCCTCCGAGTCCAAGTTGGCTTCTGGCTGACCCGTGGCCAAGGGGGTGGGGGGCACCTTGACTTCATGGCCGCTTTGCCCATTTGCAGCTTGGTTGAGAAGATCACCCTTGGGCCTGGATGAGCCCTGGTGGGCCTGTAGCAGAGTATTTCCCCCCCCACCCCCAATTAATTTCATTAATGACGCTCTTTAGCCTCCCTGCCCTTCGGTTACGACCCCACCTTTTCATCCCCGGAAATTTTAAAGCCCCCCCCCTCCCCGTAGAACTGGACAGCATAAATTAAGCTCCTGTCATCCCCCAACTCATCAGCCCAAATGCAAGGCCCTTTTCTCGGAAAGCAAAGCCCGATCCAAATCGCGGCAAAACCTCCGTAGCCATCGCTGGTTTTAATTTCAGGAGTCGATTTGAGCCATTTTAATCCCCACAAGGTGACCTTCCCAGGCTCTGCTTTTTCACCCCCAGAGGCTCTCTTTGGGGTTTAAGGGGCTAGCAATCATTAAAAATGGAAGCCAGCGGTTTTTAGGAGAGACTCATTAACATTTTACATTTTATTTATTCATTCGTTCATTCGTTTATTTGTCAAACATGTACAGGGTTTTACGTTCAGTCCGGTGGGCCTGTTTGGAAGTGGTCCCTGAGCTAAACAGGCTCAGGTTTTCTTGCAATATTTTGTGTGGATACCTAACAAGTATGGGGGTTTCCCCCCCACCTCTCAGATTCAAGGTTTTTGGAATAGAAAACCAGCCATGCTTGTTCTAAATCTTCTCCTTCGTTTACGCTATCCATTTCGAGAGTCAATTGAGCCTGAAGCACGAAGCTTCCCCCTTTTTCATACCGGGAACTCAAAAATAGACCCTAGACAACTTCTCTCGGAAGGAAGACAGTTTAACATAAGTGCACAACTCCCTGGATCACGGTGCAGCTGGACCCAGGTTAAAAGCATCGCGTTTCTGGCTTGCGCCAGAGGGTGATCCTTCAGGGATGGTTTGGAAGCTGGAAATGAATTGCTCGCGGTCGGTCCCCAGCCTTAGAGGAGGCCAAAGGGAGGGGGGAAAAAAAAGCTGGAATGGACATTTTATATAAAAAGCAAATGTAACTTGCATGGGCTTGTCGGGTGTGTGTGTGTGTGTGTGGAGAGAAAATAGGCTCAAATATAGCTACAAGCGCTAGCGTTTTAAAACCCCGACGGAAGTTTTGCAGGGTGAGAAATGTGCAGTTTCTGAAGCGATTTGTTTGGCTTAAAAACAGGAAAAAAGGCTGTTTTGGTTTGCTCACAGTTAGCCAAAGGATGCTATGACTTTAAAGTGAATTTGGAAATAGATGCTGCAAAGAAGTGAATTTTTTTGGGGGGGGGGTGGGAGCAGTGTGGCTTATTCAGGAAATGGACTAATATGCTGAAAAAGCATCTTAGGCCATTTCTTTTTCAGGAAAAGCAAGAGAGTCTAAGATTAAAGCATTTGTCATCCGAAGCCGGCTCATTGAATCCAGTGGGTCTCCTCCCAGCTCAGCCCGCGAGGAGATTCCCCTGAGATCGATTCCTGCCGGGTCACACAACTTCACCTCTTGAATTAGGGAGGTGGGATTTCATTGCTTTTTCTAGCCAGTTTCGATGGGATTCATGAAAAGGAAATCTCCTCCAAGCGGGGGGCCTTGGAACTCCCTGCTGCATGAAAGTGGGCAGGATGGTGATCTAGTGGGTCCACCTGCCCGAATAGATCAGGGTGCAGGCGGATCCTCTAATTTTATTCCAGGACACGTGACGTGGTCTCTGGAAAGACCCCCCCCCCCGGTGTAGCCTAGACTCAGGGAAACTTAATGGGGGAAAAGCATGGAGAAGAAGACAAGCAGGGGGTTGGTCTAGAAGACCTCCAAGGTCCTTTCCAACTCCGTTATCTTTCAGATCAGTTTTCTCCACCGTGGCCACTTTTAAGATGGGTGGACTTTAACTCCCAGAATTCCCTCTTCAGCACGGAATTCTGGGAGCTCAAGTTCAAATGTGCTCTTGGATGTAAGACTAACCCTAACTTGGCTTCTTCTGCTGGCTGTAAAACAATATTTCATTTTCCCTCCAATTTCCCCCCCCTAAATTTCATTTTGCAGGAACGTATTAGAGATCTCTGTTTTTGTAATTCCTCATTAGAGCAGAATTGGTCCTTGGTCAGTCAAAGTAACATCTCTTTCCCTGATTTAGAAAGTTAAAGTACCTGACCCAGAGGGTAGGCTAAATTTTGCCAACGAACATCCGAATAATATTTCACAGCCTCAGCTTTTCCCTTCTTATCCCAGTTAAATATTGTCCTTTAAAAACCCTGGGGAGAAGCTTAAAACCCAACAGCCTCCATCATTAGCAACACACACACAGAGACACACACACACAAAATTCCAAATATTGCTATTGAACCAAATATCTTTGCAACACAGACCATGTTTTTTTCTGAAAAACAACAAAAGAAATGCCGAAGAAACATTCAGACGGGGTGGAAAAGGATGGGTTTAAGGGAGGATATTTTGGTCGACACTAAGGAAAATAGATTGTGGAACAAGACAAGGAAAACCCAAGTAGACACATCTATAAATAACTCCTAGGAAGATGCTTTTCGCAGACCTGCGTTAGCAGATACTTCTCTATTTCAAAAACCCCAATCAATCGAGAGCCATATAATTTGAGCATAAGGCACCCAGGGAAAGGATTCCACAAGATTTAACCATTTCAAGAAATTATCTTAAAGCCTCCTTTCCTTTAGTTTTTTTAACAAAATTCACTTTTCAAACGTACAAAATCACAAATCTTCCCTTCTCCCTCTGTTTTCCCACGAAGGACCCCGTGTTTGTTAGTGAAGGAGGGTTGGGGGGACTGTTTTACATCGGCCCTGCAGAGATGCTGGAATGGGGGCAGGGTGAGGGAGACCCCCGTTTTTATTTTTGGCCAGCTTGCAAAAAAGAGAAAGAAAGAAAAGAAAGAGAGAGATAGATAGAGGGAGAGAAGAACAGAAGGAAGGAAAGGAAAGAAAGAAAGAAAAAAGAGGGAGAGACAGATAGACAGAGGGAAAGAAGGAGGGAAGGAGAGAAGGAAGAGAGAGAGAAAGAAAAGAAGGAAAGAAAGAAGAAGGAAGGAAAGGAAGGAAGGAAAGAAAAAAGGGAGAGAAGGAGGGAAGGAAGAAAAGGAAGAAAAGAAAAAGGAAGGAAGATAAGGAAGGAAAGAAAAAAGGGAGAGAAGGAGGGAAGGAAGAGAAGAAGAAAGAAAGAAAAGAAGGAAGGAAAGAAAGAAGGAAAGAGAGAAAAGGCCTTGCATGCGCCCATGAAGAGCTGGGTTAAGCTGAGCCTGAGCGTGGTGGGCCTTCTCTGGGTGTGAAGTGGGTGACCTGGAGATGCTAAGAAGGCAGAAGATGGTTCTCCAAAGGCAGGAAGACGCTGCTGCATGTGTGAATGCGAAGGCAGGGAAAGGAAGGCTAGCAGCGTCTTCTACCCCTCCGAGCTCAAAAGCACCAAGGATGGAGCAGCCCCCTCCCCTTCCGCCAGGGTGGACCATCCTTGGCGCTCCACAAGGGGAATCTTTGGACCCGGGACCGGGGGTCCAAGACGCTGCGTGTCGGGATGGGGGCTCAAGGGAAGTTGTGTTGTGTTTCTGGCTTTGCAGGACATTTTCTCCCTGACCTTGATCGATGGGAGGGGGGGGGGGGGCTTGTCGGAGGTTGTGGTGAGCTGGCCGTGCGCAGGAGGGGCCCGCAGGAGGGGAGGGCGGGTTGGAGATCAGCCCACCCCATTATTGACTTCTTCGGGGAGCTTGTCCCGCGACCCACAAGGTTGTGGAGAGGACGAAACTGGGTTAGGCCTTGGAGGGGACGTTGGCCTAGATTTTATCCCCGATGCACTCATGCTAGCCGACCGAATGTTGAGTATTGATCGGAGGCTGGAGGGAAACCAGATTGGGCTTTAGGTAAACCCCCTGACCCGCTTAACGGGGAGGGCTTCAGAAATGCTCCCCGGGGCCCCCAATCCTTTGTGTGTGACCTTCAACGGTTCATTTAGCGACCATTTGAAGTCCCAACGGCGCTGGGAAAAACGGGACTTAGGGCCTGGCCTCACCCTGATGGCCGTGGCGGCCATCCCCGCGGTCGCGTGATCAACCCTCAGAAGCTTGGCGACTGACTCCCACTTATGACGGTCGCGGCGATCCCCTTTCGTGACCTCCTGGCTCACTTAACAACCCCTGTACCAACTTCACAACGGCGGCGATTCCCTTCACGACGGTGGCAAGAGAGGTCGTAACGCGGGGCAAAGCTCCCTTGACGGGTGTCTCACTGAGCAGCGGAAACCTTGGGCTCCATTGGGGCCAGAACGCGAGGACTGCAAGTTCCCCACGTTCCCTAGGCCGAGGTGGTCTACTCGGAGGTCAGCCTCGGGGCCTCCAGGGAAGGGGCTCCAGATCGGAGGGTCCCCAGAGGTCCTCCTTGGCCCCTGACCTTCCTGGCCTGGCGGCTACCTCCTCCGCCCTCTGGATCCCAGCTATGGAAATATTATCTTACCTTCTAACCTTAAAGCTGCCATTCTCTGAAATTCGGGCTCTTGCAGCCACCTCCACATCCTCTTAAAGGTCTCCCGGCCGGACTTCAGTTTGCTCCAGGGCTTGGGGTTCCTCAGGAGGTCAGACAGGGTCCCCTGGGACCGGCAGAGGACCCGCTCCGCGAAGATGGCTTGGGGGATGCTGTACCGCTTGAGCTCGGCGATGATGCGCTGGGCCACCTCCTTGGTGTTGATCTCCTCCAGCTGGCTGGAGAGGACCGTGGTCTGGCTGGCGATGGGCGGGTTGGGCCGAGCGTTCATCTCTGGCCGCGGGTGGCCGTAGCCGCCTTGGCTCATGGGGTTGGGAGACGCCATGGTGGAGTTCTGGGTGGGAGACATCTCCCTCTGGAAGTGCTGGTCCATCCGGCCAAACATGGCGGCCGAGTGGCCTTCAAAGCCGTTGCCCAGCACCATCTTCTCGTTGGCCAGAGGAGCCACGGAGTGTCCTGCGTAATTGTGCATGGGGACCAGCTGCGGACTGGACAGCGAGGACAAGCCCTGGCCCATGCCCAGGTCCTTGTGGTGGTAGGGGCTGTAAAAATGCCCGCCGGCGCCCAGCCCTCGGTCTTCCCTCATGAGGGTGAAGCTGCCGATGACGTTACCCATGGGTAGGCATTGGTGGTGGTGGTGATGGTGGTGGTTCTGGTGGTGGAACTTCTCGTGGAGGGGCTGCAAAGGGGTCAGCGTGGTGTAGCTGCTCCCCGAGCCAGAGGTGGGCGAGTCCCCGCCGAAGCCAAGCCCGGGGTGCAGGGTGGTGGCCAAGGGGTGCTCGGCCCGGTGGCAGTCGCCTCCTTCTAGCACCGAGGCCACCAAAGAGGACCTCTGCAGCGCCGAGTGAAGGGGACGCGCCTCGCCGGGCATGAAGTCTTGCTCTGGGACGGCCATCTCCCCCACATTCTCCAAGCTCAAGGGGACGTTCATGGTTCCCCCTCCTAGGCTGTCATCCTCCCGGTGGGGCAGCCCAGCAGCCTTAATGGCGGTTAGACGTTGAGTGGGTGGAGGAAGAAGAGGCTGAGATGGAGAAGGTGCCGGTCCGGATGGGAAGCTGATCCGCCTCGAGTTCCCTGGGGGGCTTTGGGGACAAAGGGAGAGAGATAAGAAAGAGAGAAAGACACCCAATCCTCCCCCTCCTCCTTTTCCTCCTTTTCTTCCTCCTCCTCCTCCTCCTCTCCTTCTCCTCCTCCTCCTCTTCCTTCTCCTGTCCTTCTCTTCATCCTCCTCCTTCTCCTTCTCTCCTCCTCCTCCTCCTCCTCTCCTTCTCCTCCTTCTCCTCCTTCTCTTCTCTCCTCCTCTCCTCCTTCTCTTCCTTCTCCTCTTCCTCCTCCTCCTCCTTCTCTTCTCCTCCTCCTCTCCTTCTCTCCTCCTCCTCCTTTTCCTTCTCTCCTTCTCCTCCTTTTCCTTCTCTCCTTCTCTCCTCCTTCTCCTCCTTCTCTTTCTCTCCTCCTCCTCCTCCTCTCCTTCCCCTTCTCTCCTCCTTCTCTTTCTCTCCTCCTCCTCTCCTCTCCTTCTCCTCCTTTTCCTTCTCTCCTT